ATGGCAAAGGTGGCTGCAGTCCTGCATAGACACTATTTTATATTTCATATAAACCAAAATAAATACATTAAATAAAGGTCCTTTCACCTCCAGCTTGATGGTTCAAATCCAATCGTGCTTGGGAACAGAAATGTTCGAGCAGTAAAAATAAAACATCTCCTGATTTATGAATAGAAGTGTCAAGCTTTGACTTGCTGTGATTACTGGCATCACATTATTCGTGAACATTCAGGCAACTGCCAGAAATCCASGAAACACATTTGTGAATCCCAGAAGTTTCATAAACTTCAGCCTGAGTGGTTGCTTGCTTTCTGGTGGATAAGTGGGCTGGCTAGAGTTGTATAACAAGGCCAGCTAACTAATGCTCAGGTCAGTAATATAATGAGTGTGAAGGCTCTTGTTTCTGTTACACAGCACAAGGTGGCAATTCTGCTCTAGTTCACCCCAGACAATTGCCATTTGCTCTGGGGAACTGTTGTTGCTGGTTTGAGGAAGCCAAGGATGAGGGGATCCAACCTGACTTTCAAAKCTGAGATTGCTGGGCCAGCTGTTGGGGGGAAAAAAGAAATCAATKATTTGCTTCAAGGCTGAATGGTTCTATTGGAGAAAACATAGCAGTGCTAACACAGGTAGTGCTTGTAGAGAACATGAGGTGGGGAGAACAGGGCTGTGGTTCAGAGGTCTGTGCAAGGCAGAGCACATCAGCCACTCTCTGTATCCATACCAGTGTTCAAGTGCCTTGAAAAGCATGGGGGTTGGGCAAATCCATATGGATTTCACACCAGAAATAAAGATGTCATAATTAAAGCCTAAATTCAAGGTTAAGATGACTGTCTCCCCAGCAGAGTCTGCCATACACCTATTTGTAGGGCATTCAAAAGCAACTCGTGAATCCCAAACTCAGAATCTTGGCTCAAAGCAATGGCAAGATGTGGCCTTCAGTATTGCTGAACTACTCTGGGACTAATTGTACATGAGATTTTGAACATTTTTAAAATGTTCTCTTCCTTTATGTGAGTCTTTATATTCTCTCACTGCTTTCTCTCCATCTGCACAAAGTGAAATTTAGAAAAGGTTATTATAGCTGCTTTGTCACATTTTTTAGTACCTGCATGGGGAAGTGATAGGACAGGGAGAGCACGGCAAGGTTTGCTTCTGCTACCACTTTGCATATGTGCGACTTTAAAATGTTATTTGCAATTTGTGCTGGTATTCTAAATAATAGATCAGGTCCACAATTTATTTGCTGGGAGTTCCAGCAGATGCAGTGTAATTAACAGACTGTAATCATTAGGTTTTGGAGAGAGGGCGACATATCAATTTTTAACTGTTTTTCCGCTTAGAAACACATCCAAGCAGTGCTGCCTCCAGAGGGATATGCACATGGATGAATGCACTTTGTGCATGCCATTTTATATACATTCTCACTTTGCTTTCCAAGTATTAACATGTGTAAATCCCTTTGGCATGTGCAGATACGTGCAAGTGGGCTGTGCATCCACAGCATTTATTTGCATATGGAAGAAAGCATATGTGGAATTGTGTGCACTGAGTTGCACTTGCACTGAAGCTCTTTGAGTGTTTCACCTTATATGWGGCATCTCTTCAAATCTGCAGCTCSGTGATTYGGTTCCKTTTGCCTCAAAAATCAAGGCAGGGTGACTTTGGGTGGAGGAATAATGGTGTTATTTTAGGAAATGACCCTTTGAGRTTTATTTCTCAGTTGCCTTCACTTTAATACAGTAACATGAAAACCACAGAGGCGGAGAAACCGGTCTTGGTGGACAAATKCAGGTGTTGAGCTGATACCCAAGCGAGTCCAGTAATTACTGCTGGGGAGGTTGTTCTTTCCACCCACACAAATAACCCTGTGGCTGCAGCASAGCACCACGAGCTCTTTGCTGCTGGGGGTGTCACCTGCTCAGCAGAGTTGTCCAACAAGTTGGATTTGGGGTCTTTAAGCAGGAGGGACACTGTGGTGCTGTGAAWGTCCTTTCCCCACAGTAACACAGGACACGGCCCAAAGAAGTGAATCTCACAGAGGTGACCCAGGACAGTAATTGTAATTACCTTCTGGGAATATTAATGCATGCCTTTGAGTTTTGAGGTTGGTGGAAAACAGAGAAAATAAGTTTGGGGGAGAACTGCTTTTCCTTTACATTTTAGAAGGGCTTCCTATGGTTTTGTCTGCTCATTTCTGCCAGTAAATTCTATYCTTTGTGTGTGGAAGTAAAGATCATGGCAATATCTGAGACCATCCCCTTGAAATGCCAGTTAAAACCTAAGAAATTTTACTGGGGAAGTTGGTGARAGCCTTTTGGCAAACTGTTGGCTTGTCCACCTCTAAACATCTACCATTAATTACTTAAATGATTTTTTAAAAAATAATAAGTAAATGAGAGTACCCCTGACTTCGCCCCATGTAGGCATTCTAGTTTCTCTTCTTCTGGAAAAAGGGAATGTTTCACTYTGTGTCTTTTAGAGGCTCTAATTCAGGTTTCCTACTGTTATATCACTTTATTTAAGGASAGTGCAGAAGACAGGAATCTGAACTGACTGCCTGATGCTTAAGAGGGTGAATAACGACTCGGAGCAGACCTCATGCGTATCTTTTGATCTTTGGGCTTCAGACACCCCTTCACCCATAATTAACTCGTGCCTTGACTGATCACCTGAGTGATCAAGGGAGACTCAGCATGTCAGTGGAAACCAGGGAACTATTACTCTATGGCAAAACAGCAATCAAGGCAGCTCRTGTATGATACAAATCAGATACCTGCAAGAACAAGTCACGTAATGGCAAGCTGTACTGGAGATGGATGMTATCCTAAATCATTATCTTCGATAGCATCAATTATGTTTGCAGGGTAAGCCCATGCTATCCTCATGGCAAAGCCCTGCATCCAGATAGCAGCAGCAGCAACAACAAAAATTAAAATTACAGCACGGATTTTGGGAGGGGCAGCGCGCCACGCATGGCTGGCCAATAAATCAAGACCATCCGTGGATTAGATGGAGGGGAATGGGAATGGTTATCATCCTGTTGTGTGAAATGCACAGCTTAGCCTCTGTAGATCATTTAAAATATATATGAATTTGAAATCAGCCAAAAGATATGTCAGGCATTTTTCTTCTTAAAATTACRGCATGTTTTTAAAGCCTAAGTGCTTTTCAGTACAAATTTTAGCATGTTTTGCATTCAAATGAAACCATCTACTCTACGTGCAAAGCCCTTGCACACGCTGCCTGTAAAAKTGGGGGGAATCACTGGATTTATGGGTTCTTTTGCACATTCTGTCAAAGTCAGCTGTCCTGCCTAATGGAGCCCATGGAGCAGGAAAGGCTTTCATTGCACAACTTTCCATAAGAGAGATAATGTTTGCTCGTCTGACACATTGCAATGCGTAAACAAAGACTCGAGATCGGTTTGTATTAAAAGGAGGAGCCTCAGCTGGGAAGGGATTAAGTTAATAACATTTTCTGTAATGTCTTTATCAGCATTTCTGTGGCCAGTTTGCGACAATAAAYAGGAAAAAAAAAAGCAGCTCATGTTTGAGATGGAAGTAAATTTCAGGCTGATATGAGTGATGTACCTCATAACCAGTTATAATTAGAAGGGAGGCTTCTTACAGCACCGTTCCTCTATAAATCACTGCAGATATTACCCCAACTTGTACAACAACTATGAAATACGCTGTGAAATTTGAAACTCATGAAAAATAGGTTCTTTTGTTGCAATTTTGTTCTCAGAAAAGCTCTCGTTTGATGCAAGTGTATGACTTTTTTGACTGATTTCTTAAAAATAAGATCAACAGCCTCARTTCCCTAGAAAACTGTGTTAAAATTTCAATTTAGTAAAGTCTTTTTGTTTTTTTTGAGATCAGTTTGTGCAAGCTGAAAAGAATTGCACATTTTGCCACACAGAATCCTTACTAGCAAGAGTCTGTCAAAAAAACTCAAGCAGAAGTTTTCTATGGCAGAAGCTTCTTATCGAGCACAATTTTACACTAAAGAAATCAGAAATACAGAATGATAGCAGAATATTTTCCTTTTCTCTTCTGACAGAGTCAGCTTTGACCTGGCCTGGTGCCCACCCCCAATATTCCAGATGTGACCATGGAAAGCCCACAGGGAAAGCAACCCTAGGGAAGAAGGCCTTGCTGGATGGGTGCCTAAAAACAAACAAAAACCAAGTAAGATTCCTGGAGCCTTTCTCTTGTACTATGATCTAAGTATTTTTCCTATGATATTTTATTATATTTTTTAATAGAAAATGGATGAGTTTCTTTTAGAAATGTGTTTTCTGAAAACCTATGAACCATTCAGGACTGTTGGCATGGTAGGGCTGTAGCTGCCTCTATTGATCCTAATTTAAAGTTGTAATTGCAAATAAAAACATCATTAATTGCAAATAAAAACATCATTATATCCCCCAGCTACCTTAATTGAAAGGATTGATTCGCAGGGGCAAAGCATGATAAGAACTTCTCTATGGGCCAAGTGCTTATGGACATTTTAACACCCTCATTTTGGCATGGCCTGGGCTTGTTCTTGTGAGAAGAATGTGACAAAGGAGAAACCTTCACACTTCTACTGACTTAATTTCTTGGCYCCACTTGTGATAAGGCAGGGGACCTATGCAGGACTCATGGATTACACAGGAGATGTCACAGWGCTGCAGAGAGCCCTGGGAGGGCTGGGGTTACCTATGGAGAACCTRCAGAGAACCTTAACTTCTCTGCCCCCGTGCAGGTTTTAGATATTAGAAAGGAATTCATCCCATGTGAGGGTGGGGAGCCCTGGCACAGGGTGCCCAGAGAAGCTGTGGCTGCCCCTGGATCCCTGGCAGTGCCCAAGGCCAGGCTGGACGGGGCTGGGAGCAGCCTGGGACAGTGGAAGGTGTCCCTGTGATGCTGTGAAATACCTTTCAAAATATCTGCTCAATTGAGCAGTTGATGTGAGAGGTTTGGGGAAGACTCAGAAAACAAACCTTGGTTCCCCTTCTCTCTGGGCAGGTGTTTTGAGTGAAGGTGTTTAGAGGACTTGAGGAGGAATAGAAGATTGTGACTCCTCCTTGAATCTGCCCATGGTACAGGATATGAAATGCAGTGTGCCAGGGTCTTCTATTGTGACTGGTCCTCAGAGAAGATGCAAAACCCCTYTTTATTGAAAAGAAATGTTGGAGATTTAGGATGCTGAGCTCCTCCTTCAGAACAGGAGGCTGAAATATCAGAAAGGGCATTCCTTGCACTGGCACTCTCTCAGCCCACAAGAACAGAATTTCATAATAACTCAGCGAGATGAGCACCCAAGGCCTTCAAGTACCAAAATGCTTCTAGGATCTCAGCCCAGGAGATTAGCTCTTCTCTAGCAAATCAGTTTATTTTATCTTCAATAGTCAAATAACTCTACTTTTGGTGCAGTATAAAAAAACAGTMCTGTCTGTTTAATGCACTCAACTTGGAGGAGTAAACCTGTGGGGCAACAAATGTTTTTATAAATCTTAGATAAAATCAAGATGGGGAAAATAAAGGTTTATACCATGATTGGCTGTAAAAACAGTGAGATGTCATTAGTCAAGGGAACATCATCTGTCAGGCTGGGTTCAAATATGTGGGACACACTTAGCTGCTTCAAAAATAAACTAGCATTTTCAAAGAATTAAACAAAACTCTTGTTTATTAGGTGAAATTATCAATTGTTTTGTCTTTCAGAGGTAAACAAAGAGCCRAGGGAGTCTCAATCACTCGGTCTTATGACCTTATGGTCACTGTCCAAAATACCAGCAGTGACGTTCCACACTGGAGAACTAAGAAGAAGAAAAGCAGATCCACAGCAGGGTTAGCCCAGTGCCTTTTCAAGTAATCCCTTATTTTTACAAAACATTTCCATATGGGAAACTCTATTGCTGAGCAGATGCACTGGGAACAGTGTGGTCAGTGCTCTGTGTATATCCTGATTGTACAGGCATTGAATACCCAGAACAGCTGAGAGGCTTCAGCAGTGCTGCCCTGCACATCTAAATGGGAAACTGATGCCTGGGGCTGAAAATTGATCTGTGACATTAAAATAAAACTACAGAATAGGCATCACCCTCTGGAAGGGAAGCAGATAACTGGTATTAGCTCATCTGGTAAAGATGAGTAGCTGGAGAGGGTCTGAAGAATTCTTGCAGATATGGAACACTTACCCTGAACCTTGTGAAAAATTGGTTCAAAACACAAATTTGCAGCAGATACTTATTTATGTAATGGGTCTGAGATGTAACCCTGAATGTAACTCCTTTTTTTTGCTTGGCAGAGTTGGGATCTGGCTCTTTACGGACCCTGCAGGACAGTCTGTCTACAGTTCACTAATCCTAGAAAGCAGAATTAATCTTAAGAAAAAGCCTTCCTTTTCTCCTTCCCCTTTCCCTTTTTTTGTTCTCTCTTTTCCTTCTTTTTATTTTTTTTTCTCTTTCTCTTTTTTTTTTTTTCTTTCTTTTTTCTAAAGGGAAATTTAGTTGCAATAATACAAACCAATCATGCTCTCTCTGGTTACAGCTGAGCGACACTACATCAGCAGCAGAATGTGTAGAAATTAAACTGTAACAACGTACCAAGGAGAGGCACAGCAATATCATAAAAATTATCCACAGTACAATATGACTAATGTTGTGTGAAATGCATTCATTGGCCAAATGATGTCTAGGTGTATCTTAAGGAGTTATGCTGATGGAGATAATGGTTATAGAACAGAGATAAAGGAAGGAAAGGCGAGTGAAAGACAAAAGGTTGCAGCAAGGGCAGCCTGGCTGGGGAGGGTGCTCAAGCAGGTGAGTTTGAACAGGAAAGATGAGCTGCTCTGGAATATGGAAGGATGTGAGAAGAACTCAGTGGCACCTTTCCTCCTCACATCTGTGAGAGGTGTGCTGCTGTTCCAGGCACACACACACACATGTTCCAGTGCTCTTTCTCACCTCCTTTTATGGGGACTTTTCTCTAATATTTATCTAGAAATACAGACTGCATATCTGTTAAATATTCTCCAGTTCTATTCTTTATAGAAATGTATTTTCTCATTCTAGGTACAAAAGGAAATAAAAATCCAAAGGGAAGGGACTGATTTCATTAGAACATCCCAAACCAAGAAATTACCTCCAATTTAGCCAGAGAGAAGACATCTGCAGTAAACACATGATTAAGGTGCACTCAGACACTGTCATCTCATTCCTTAATCTGAGGGCCTTTATGAAATGAGTAAATGTTTTTGCCTGAATAAGGAACTTGAGTATAGGTAACTCAAAGAAGTTTTCCTCTCTGTTAAACACACCTTTAGAAAAAAAATCTGCCCAGCGACCCATTGTGCCATCATGTTTATCAACAGGTATTTACCCAGTACATGAACATTTAGTTTTCCCTAAAAGGAATTTAGGGATTACCCAAGTAAATCTTTACATCTTTACATCTAAATTGCATTTCCTAAACAGCTCAGATGAGCCCACATCTCACTGGGTGTCTCTTAAAAATCTAAGTACTTTTTGAAATCAGAGAACTAGTCAGCAAAGCCTGAAATGAAATCAATCTCTGTGCAGTGTGCTGCTGTAGTGCAGGGCCTGCTCTCTGATGAAGCCACAGCCTCTGAAATTACCAGAAAGATAGAGAATTGTCACGGTATTCCTGATTATTTGTTACCTGGTTGGTTACAGAGAGAGAGCCCAGGCCAAGATCTTGCAGCAGTTGTTGTTTCTGGTGTGTGGGAGCCACGTTAAGGCAGGGGTTTGTCTCATTTATTGATACATACAAGGATGGGAGGCAGACCCAGCCAAAAATGCTGTGATCCAGCTATTTTCAAAATCTTGACATATCCAGAGTGGGGAGTTCATTTTGTCTCCTAGCAAAGATAGGGGGTCCCCATGGAGCATTTCAATGGGAGGCAAAGCTCTCCACAGATATGGGTTGTGCTGGGCTGAGCTTTGCTGTTCCACTTCAAAGGCAGAGGAGGAGGCAACGATGCGATAAAATCAATGTTTTCAGCCCCAAATCTGGCTTGGATCTGGGGGTTCTTTGTGAGCCTTATAAAGCTTTTTCTGCMGCCAACCACCTCCACTCGCTGCTGAGCGTGTGCCAGGAATTCCCCAGCAGAGGAAGCTGCCAAAATTCAGGGAGTTGTGATAACTCTGCTATCACATCCATAAAACCCCAGTCAAGGCTGCTCTTCCCCCATGCAGGAGGGGCAGAGAGGAACATCCTCAGCCTGTAGAGCCYCGTCTCTGTTATTTTGCTCCCTCTTTCATGCTTTTGCAGGGCTGTGATGGCCGTGCAGAGGAATTTCTGCATTCCCTCTCCATTTGGGAAACAAACTTGAGCCGTTTGCTCTGGGGGCAGGAAAGCGCACTGCCCCAACACGAGAGCAATTTCAACCTTGAGAAGGGGAACAGCCATTCTGGGACCTGGGCTGCTTTATATCTCAGCTGATTCTCCTCTTTCCCTCTTCCCTATCCCCTTAATAGCTTGACAGGAGAAATAGAGGGAAGATCCAGCCATCTGATTAACAGTGCCGGGGGCTGGGGATGGATGGCAAGGAAAGGGAGCGCAGCGTGGCTACCGGCCAAGTTCCAGCGAGAAACAGAATATCTGGCTTCCTCTAATCTCTGGAGGAAAATTAAGTTACAAAAACCTTTAGTGGAAACTTTGCATACATTCGGTACCATTGCCGTGCCTGACAGAGAAAAAAGTAAAACCCCAAACCTGATATATTATTTAGTTTATAGTTATAGAATTAAAGGCACAAGCTTTCCCGCCAGGAATAAAGGGAAAAAAATCSTCTCAAAAACTCAAGACAAGCCCTGTAAAACCCCTCAAATATTTTGTGCTGTCAGAGTTCTTGAGAAATTCTCCTTTTGGTGTTAGTGGATGGTTGTGTGAATTGTGTGAAGATGTCTGAACATTTCCCAGTGAATTTTTGTACTTACATGTAGAGCTCTTCTTTTTTCCCAGCTGTTTGTTYGGCCTCCTGCAGGAGCAATAAAGGTGAGGAGAAGGTGGAGGTGGGGAAAAGGCTCTGAATTGCCCTGGAAGAGGCCCTGAATTGTCTGCCCTACAGACACCACTGCCCCGGGAAGGGGCTCAGGCGGCTCAYGCCACCACTGAGCCCAGGAGCCATYGCCTTGCTGTTCCTCAGAAATGTGTGTGTTACACAGAGAGGAATTCCTCCCCCTCCTCCGTGTCTGTCATCGATGTGCTGATGAAAAATAGTGGAGTTTGATTTTAAAAAAAYAGCTTAGGTGTTAAGTGAGCAACAAGTTGGGACCTGAGCATATGAGAGAAAGYGCTGATTAAAATTAAATATCCTATTTATTGACTGTTACAGCTAAAGCAGTTGGAATGACCATGATGAAAGTATTACTTACGTGTTACTCGCTTTTATGAGAGGGGGAAAAATAAAAGAAGCTAGATTCGCTGCTTAGATCTTTTCTTCATTAAGTCTTATGTTATGTTGATATATGTACAAAGGTTTTTTAATGTCAGAAACATGAACCAAGGGGCTGCACAGCCCTTGCCTGGCTCAGCACCGTTCATTTCCCTGGCTGGCTGTGCTCTCCTCTTGCTGGCTGCTCAGGCTGGTGGGAGCCTGGCTCTGTTTGTTCTGAGAGGAGAAAGCACAGATGCATTTTGTAGCATTTCTCTCCACCTGTTTGCGAGCAGCTTTCTCCCAACCTTCCTTGGGATCCCTTCCCCAGCCTTGTCCGCAGGGAACATTTTCCACTCAGACCAGCGCAAGGGCCGTGTTTACATGCCATTTCCCTTCCCAGAGCTTTATTTCCCTTCAGCCTCAGGGACYTCAGCACCAGCCAAAACTCAATATGGGGCTGAAATTGTACACTGGCTGTCCCCAGCCCCGGGCAGCGCTGCCGCAGGAGAGACGGGCGTGTTTGTGTAAGTGTGCACGTGTGTGTGTGTGTGTGTGCACAAAAACAGATGTGTGCTGTCCAGAACAAATGAGGCCATTCACAATGTCACAAAATGGACAATTTATGGCCAGTTTCAGCAATTAGTCAGACCAAAGAATTGAGTGGGTCACTATTAAAACTTTCACTGTTTTGTTTACTTTAAAAAAGCAACAGGGAGTTCCAGCCGATGAGCAAAGATACTGAGAAAGGGTAATTAAAGAGAAACAATCTTTGATGTTTGTCTTATTACAGTTTCTCCTCATTTTGTTGTGCTCCCCTTGCTCGGTTTTTACAAACAGASCTGCTGCTTTTTTTTGGGAGGGTGGTGTGTGGGTGGCTGCATGGGCACTTCTGCAGCAGGAATTCACCCCTCGCTTCCTGCCAGGCTCTTGCACCTTGCAGTGAATTAAGGCACTTCCTCCAGAAGTGCTGGCACCCATCAGAAAATCTAGGTATCAGCCTATAGGGCCATCCACTTGTGTGGATGTGTAATGGGGGGRAAAGTTATCCTGAAAAATATTGATAGCTTCTAAAATACTCCACCAGCCCAAGGGTAGCTTGAATTGTGTGAATTAACTGTCACCTTGAGCATGACCTGCCCCCCAAAGGTCACCACCTTTAATTTAGTATAGATATTCTGTTCCATTTCAATTAAGTATTTTGTCTTCTACTCAGGTCTTAGTTCTACTTCTAATGCTTGATTTTGTGCCACAGTCCGAAGATTAGGGATTTCACGTGTTGTTCCAAACTCCTGAGTAACCAAATCTTCATGCTGTGTGGAAGGTTTTTAAGTTCAGCTTGTACAGTAAGAAGTTACGATTTGCAGGACTTTTTGTTTTTCCTGGTCCATGGGCAGCCTTTTCTGGYTTGTGCATTGTGGGTGTGCTCAGTTGCATGGCAGAGCTGGCTGCTGCTCATGGATGATCTTTYATKTGTGGGGATGACAGTGAGAGATGGYTGGGAGTTATTTAATCAAAGTCTTTCAATGAAAGGAAAGATATTTTAATATGTGGTTTGATTCACTGCAATTTTTTGGCAGTAGATGGGGCCCTTACTGTAATAAAATTCCAGGGAGTTGGAAGTCTCTTGGAGGTGGTGTCAGATGCAGTGCATTGGAGCTGACCCCTGGAGCATCATCTCTGACCTGACCCAGRCTCTGTGCTGTTTCCATGTRACTGCTCATGAGAAAAAAMCAAAAAGGWGGGAAAAGGGAAACAAAGKTCTTGCACCTCGGCGCCCCACCTTTTCACTCCACTCTGTCCCAATGCTTCCTTTTGCTGCCTTTCTTTCCAAAAAGCTCCAAACCCACAGGTCCCTGATTCTGACATTGCTGACCATGCTCAGGATACCCCATGAGATCGAAGAGGAGCAGGAAGGGAAATGCACCCCTGGGATGGGATGGGGCAGAACCAGAACCTCAACTCCTGCCACGATGCTGTGAATTCCACGTTTCACTCAAGCAAACCCACATTTCCTGGCAGTGCTGGGGCTGGCCTGGAATCCAGACCCGCTCTGCTCAAGGTAGAGCCATTATCCTAAAGTGCTTTTATTGATCTGTTGACTTTGTCTCCCTCCTTCTCTTCCTTTCTTCACCCTGCCAGCCTCTTAAAGACTCCTATCTCATCTCATACAACCAAGGTATTTTAAGGGTTGAACAATGATTTTGAAGTCAGATTAGACAAACTATATCTGATCAGTAAAACCAGATAAACCCTGAATGATATCTGAAGAAGGATGTGTGTACATTTACAAATCAGTCCCTCTTTCTCTTCCCCTCTCATTTTTTCTCTCTCAATGTATGTCCTGGTGCTCTTCAAACAATCAATTTTGAGGCCTCACACATCTCCTCTGCAGCAGCCTGTCCCCCAAAGTGGCACTGCCATATTGTCATGCTTTATCTTTGGTTGGTTAAAGAGACCCAGAGCAGTAAATCTATATCTGTGCTGTGATATCCAGCAGTATTAAAGGCTGAGATTTAAAGTCAGGCCTGAAAGACTTAGTAGGTGATGCCTGTAGAAAGCCAAGAAGATCTCTGTGCCTTACTGGAAATTTCAGGCACAACATGTTAGAGTGCAATATATTACAGTGACCCGAGCTGCAAATCCTTCTGAGATGGAGATAAAGGAGAAAGWATAATACTGGAGAACATGTTAACAATCCTGTGTGTTACCAGATACTGAGMAAGGGCTTGATGTTGGCTGATTTGCTTTTATTCCTTGTTTCAGTGTTCATAATTTCTCAGGGTGAGGGAAAATTACAATTCCTTCCTAATAACATTGCCCGTTAATTGGTTAAAGTATGAGCATTCAGTCAGTGGTCTGAAAAATACCCAGGTAAATACAGAACAGTTAAAAAAAGGCTAAATTTTATTACAGAAGTGCATTAACTTTTCAAAAATGTAAAGTGCAAGGTCTTTCATACAGCTGAAAACATCATTGTTTGTGAGTGCATTATTTGAAAAATAAAGACTTTATAGATAGTCAGATAAGCATAAATATACATACCTGCTTTACAATGCACTCTAATGTTTTTATGTTGAAACAACATAAATARAAGCATATTTGAGTAAAATACAGAAATTCATATTGAGCTCTTCTGGTAGGGTAGATGTAGGGTAGATAGTACTACACTGAAAATAGTGTGACAGTTTTCACAGAGAAATATTAATCCCTTTTCCACTTTGTTCATATCAGCATTAGTTTTCTCTTTATGGAAAAGAAGATACATGAATTTGCTCTGGCCAGTATTTGTCTGTCCATCATTGAAACCCTGCTTTCAGATGTGGGCTATTTCTCTGCTAAGCCAGGAACAGAACAGCTCTGCCTGTCTCAGGAGCTGTGCAGGACCCATCAGGGATCACGTCTGGTGCTTTGTTCAATAATCACTGTGGAGAGTTTGAAAGCAACCTGCTGGCTGAAATATGTTCATGCAAAGAATTTATCTAAGAAAACTGAAATAGTGAAATGGGGAGGGAAAAATAATAAAAACTTGTTTCCATATTCTGAGGAAACRAAAAAGATGTTGATGATAACCTTCTCAGACCATGGGATGGCCACTTGTGAACATAGGGCAGTGAACCTTGATTGATTTTGAGATTTGTGTGGTGAGTAGCAATACATAGTTCAGTGGATTGCAGATAACATAGCTAACTGTAATTCTGTATCAGAAAACTTTCCTTCTGAAATCACAGACAGGGAAAAGGGAATTGGAGTCCTGGGGAAGAGAATCCCTTGGCAAGCACACCTAAGTCATTTGCCTTTTTGGAGAAACTACAGCAGGACCCAGCTACAGCCTGAAGTGCACTGAGCTGCACCTCTGGAGAGTGAACAGCAAATGCTTTGTGCTCTGCACTGAGCTGGAGAAAAGAGCCAGGGTTGTATTTAATAGCCTGCATCGCTGCTGCTCATGGGAGGAAACAGTATATTCCAAGCTAGGCACAAATCTACATTTCTTTGTTAAAAGTTACAAATTTTGAGGCAATAGGTTTCTAAGGAGATAYGTTTGGCCAGTTTATAAAAATCTTGATCAGAAAAGCCTGTGAGATGTTCCTAGCTGCTGCTATAAGTAGACTGWGAAGTTTGTTTCTGTGTTTCAAAACCAGTGAAACTACTTGAGCAAACTGGTTTCAGGGTCAGAAGACACTCACAACCGTGCTTGTCTGGTAAGAGATCATACAAAGATAAAGCTGATGCTCATTCTAAATTTGTCTTCACACAGAGCAAGGTGAATTTGTGGACTCCCCCCCTGCAAGATGCTATGAGGACACGCTGTGGAGTTGGATGTCTGAAACAGATCAAGAAGATTTTCTAAACGTCAGTACACAAGTAAGCACTGCAAGTAATTTGCAAGCTAGGGGAAGTGAGTCAAAAATCACTTTTCTAGGCATAAATGAGCCTGAGCAGAATTATGTGAAACTCTGTCTCTTCTGACAGCRGCACTGAGCATGGGTGAGTGCATTTTGTGATGTGGCACTGCCGAGCCTGTGTGGAGGCAGGAGCTTGGGCAGGTGAGCTGATCTGGGGGGAATCCTTCATCAACAGCAGAGCTCTCCTTGCTTTGCACAAAAGAACTTTCCTACATATTAGAAGGGGATTATGAACTGGGGGCTGCCTGGCCATTCCCAGTGAGAATCAGCTGCGTGYCTGGTCTGTGGGATGTCAGAGCAAGAAAGGAAGAAGGAAGGGAAATATTTTCTGGTAATTCGGGGGAAGGAGAGAGGYAGAAGGAACCCCATGCACCTTTCAGCAGAACAGCTGAGAGCTGCGAGGTGTGAATCCCGCAGCAACGCATTGTAATTAAGCATCCTGTAAGGTGAGGAGTAAAAAGTAACTGCAGWAAGCTCATCAGCAGCTTCTGCACCGACTCTGTGCCCCCCTTGGATACCCTTTGGAAATCTTCAGCGTGTTTTGTGTTTGTTTCAGAGCCAGAAACAAATGCTGGCAAGTGCAAAGGTGTGAAATGTTGGCCAGCCGAGCCCAGCGTGCCTGACAAGGCACTGGAGGGAGGATTGCTCTAAGTGGATGATGAGCTCAGTTCAGAGGCTGCTMAGTTAAAGCTTATTACCCTCATTAAGGGATGTGTGTAATGTGGTTTCAGGCTTATGATATGGTAAAACCAACATTTTCCAAATGTTTTGTTGTTCTGCCTGTTATGCTTRGAGGGGAATTCGGTTTCTGTTTTGCACTGGGTCGAATTCGGTGCGGAGATAAGTTTTCTTCACCGAGTTTAGAGTTTGGGATTGCCTCTGTGATGTCAGAGCTGTCTGGGGCTGTGTCAGAACCGGGAGAGGCTTCMCAGTGAACAGAGGGAAGGAGGATCAGGGTGCAGAGAGGTTCCCATGGCTCTGCTGGGAGCCAGTGCCATTCTGAGAGCGCTGGGGATGGAATGCCAAGCCAGGCAGGTGTCCCTGGCCCTGCTCCCCACATCTCTGCATGGCAGCAGATCAGCCTGTGCTGCTCCCAGCAGGGTGTAAATGAAGCAGGATGGCTCAGGTTTAGCTTTCCATTTGATTTAATGAACCCTGCAGGTTGAGGAGCACTGAGGTGGGGTGGAGCAGGACCAGGAAGCAGTTTGGATTCACCAGGTGCCATCAGCTTGAGCTCAGSACTGACCCTGCAGGACTGGGCTGCTTTGCACAACACTTGAGTGTCTCTGCTGTGTGTTCCTCATTGTTTCCATTATCTGAGTTTTTCCTCTATCTGGGGTGCCACAGCCCCTCCCAATGATGGAACACTGGCTCTCCAGTCAGCTTTAATCTCTGCTGTCTTGGGAGGGTCAGGTCAGGAGAGATTTGAGGTCCTCAGCCCTCAAGTGGAGCCCTCCCTGCTTCAGACAGGGCTGCAATTGAAACCAGCTGATCCCAAGTCCTTTGCAAACATTTCCATTTCGAACCACTGAAGTTTTATGTCTTTCTAGTAAATTTTTTTCTTAAGCCTCATAAATCTCATAAAGATCTTGAACAGCTAGTAAATTTGGCCATTCAGATACACGTTTTCCAGTAAAGAGGATAATGGTTGCTGTTCTGATGCCACCTCCCCACCCCTTCAGCTGTAGGAATTCACCTCTTGCCTGTGGCTGCTCGCACACAGCTTGGGCCGTGCAGGAAGGATCAGGGCATTGCTGGGACTCTGATAGCTTGGCCACTCTCAGAATGTGAGATTTGYTCTCCTCACATCTCAAATCAGAAAAAATATGTTGATGTTCCTGTGCTCGGGGTGTTGGGGATTTTGCTCTGTCCRGGCTGGACAGAAAATACTCCAACCAAGCTCATAGGCTTCGATTTCCAGGTGGGCTTGAAAGGACACGAATCCAAGGATAACATAAACCCAACAGGCCTCAGATTTCTCTTGGAAACACCAGGCAAAAGTGCTGAAGTTATTTAGAAAAACATACTAGAGAAACAGAAAATTGCAAGCATATTTTCCCCTTTATTTGTTGTCTCCCAAATTCAAACAAGCTTATTTCCTTTCCTGCGATGCTGCTTTTGATAATCTTGTGCCAAAGGCACTGAATCTGTTCTTATTTCTGTCAATAGCAAGATGCCTGTTGCTTTTAATGGCTCAGCTATTAAAACACCACATCCCAGTTGTCTGGCTGTGAGCAATCCCGAGCTATCGCAGTGACAATATGGAACCTTTTTCCTCTCTGAATGTTTCTCTGCAAAGTTTGACCATTTTGGCTGGGGTAAAACATGTGTCTATCTGGGATTCTTTCCAAGGATGAGATTTTGACAGCTGTGCTCATGTTGGCAAAAATCCTGACATCTTGTGCTTCGTTGAAATAGCAGATTCTTAGTGGAGAAGGGGTGGGAATCCGATTTCATAGATGAACACTTATGAATTGAAGACYGTGAGCCTGGCTGAGCTCTTTCCACTCGGGGGAAAAGGTTGAAGMCATGCTTTGGGAACAGGGTGGAGCCTGCCTTTCTTCCCAGCCCCMCCTGTGGGTGCAGATGGCCGATGGGCAGCGGGGTGGCTGGAGCTCTCTGTGCTGCTGCCAGCTTTGTGTGGGACATGCCTTGGATGGTGCCCACGGATGTGGGAATCAGCCTGCTTGCAGCCATCCTAATGATTGTCATTTGCATGTTGGATGCTTTGGGCACGGCTCATGCGTGGTGTTTGGTRTGCTTTCAGTGAGAATCCACCTTTGCAGCCTGGTCAAAGCTAGAYCTGGTATTTGTGCCAGACAGCTTGTGAAAAAACAAAGCCTTGCTGTAATCTGAAATAGCCTGTTTTGGGGGTTTTACTATCATTATTGTGATAAAGTTCATTGAGTGTTTTTTTGTTTGTTTTTTCCTCACTGGAATCCCCATCTTGAACTGGAGAGATATTTCCCACAAACGTTGTAATTATTCAAAGCTGGTRTATTTCTGCAGTAACCTTCAATCTGATGAACTGTCACTTTTCTGATGAAGAATCACTTATTTGGAGACTAGAATTCCTATTATCTCGACAAATAGGGAATGGTGGCACAGAAAATTGTGTCAYGAGGTCACCCAGGAGCTCCACATCAGAGCCAAGGATAAACCGGAATGGGTCTGGTGGAAGGTCATCAAAAATTTTTCAGAAAGTATTTTGCAAATATTATATTTATTTCAAACTTTCCAGAGGCCAGGCAATTCCTTTATATTTTACCAAGAAAAATAAATTAAAGAAAAAAAAAAGTCACGAGCTTTTAAAATCTTGCCAACAATTATTTTCCACGTCTAGTATTTCACTGGAAATCAAGGAAAAATATTTTTTAAAACAAAACAAGATAACASTCAAACAACAAAACCCCAAACAAAACATGCCTTGTGTTGAAAACAATTAAAACATTTTTTTCTCAGGAAAGATTGTAGCTTAGGGTTAGACACACAGAGTCAGACATTCCTGCTTGCATCCATGGCAAATGTGAAGTCTTTTATGTGACTTTTAAAGGAAAAGCATCTAATCTGTCTCAAATCCATCCTTGATGTACATTGAGTGATATATGCAGATATTTCTCATCCCTCGTAAAGCACTTGGGCAGCCTTTTCATGTGTGGAAGCCCTCATTCCTTTTTTAAGGATTTTTAAGGCTAAAAGCCAGATGAGTCCTGTTTGGAATGGTTAAATTTGGGACAGTCYCAGAACAAGAAAAGGTGGGTGTGTGGGGTGAGCGCACGCGGCAGTGACGGCGGGCAGGAGAGCTGAAGGTGAGCTCTGAGCACGGATTATTTATCTTTGCACAGCCTGGACTTGKCAGCTGAGTGCCCAAAAAAGTGATCAGCAGCTACAGAATTCTATGGGAAAAGCTGTGCCTGCTATAGTTTATGGGGGACGGGGTTGAGGAGGATGACAAAGGAGCTGTTGTTGCATAGGAGGTTTGGTCAGCGTGGACTGACCACTGCCCTCAGAGGCCCTTTCAAAGCTGGGCCTTAATGACAATCTCTTTCCTTCCTCTCCCACTTGTTTTTTGAAAATGAGGGCAAATATTAGCACATCTGTGAGTGCTGGGCTGCTGTGTTGGAGTGCTTCTAACCCGTGCTAGCTTGATTAAAACTAACACCGCGTTTCTACGCTGAGAAATTCCAGTGSCGTGTCTACCATAAATTAAACTGAAATTCCAACTTTAAGTTCTCTTCTAGCTCTGCAGCAGATCTGTTTACTCTGGAGTAGCATAAGGCAGATGTCTTCATCTTTGCTGATTCTTAACAGGTCACAGGCATTGACTTTAAATAGCTAAAAGCCTTTAAAATAATTTTAAAACAGGCTTCCCCCTCCCCTGCAGACCTTAAACTTTACTTGGCCTTCACTAGAAATGCCCAGGATAACATGATCCTAAAACAGACCATATAAACCAAGGAGCAGCTTTAAATATCTAATGTGATCATTACCTGAAACCGGCAAAGAGGTTGGAATAATTATTGCTCATGTTTACACTCCTGCATCTCAGTGGGTTGTGCTCAATCCTTTAATGACGATGATTAAAAACATACTGGAAACACATAGTAATTAAAGGGAGCACTTAASCGTGATTCTGAAAGCACAGAGGCAGCTTTGAAGTGGAACTGGACACGGTGTCTGTTGCCAAAATGATTCAAGAGCTGGAGCACCAGGTAGTTGGTAATTGTAGGTACCACACCACGTCTGTTTTGGCACCTGCGCCATCCGCCCCCAGCACCAACCTCAGAATCACTCCTCATATGTCAGAGAGACTCCTGCAGCCTCAGAAAGAGCTGATTGATGGCTGAGGGATCATGCAAATACCCTGCTTTCTAATTTATGTCAAGCCAAAGTTGAGTTTTGGCTTGTTTCTCCATGGGGGACTTTTWGAGGGTGAGGCAATGTTTAGGAAGAGGGCAG